TTTTGTTCTAAATTATATCAAATTATATATATATTGTGTACTTATATCATTATATCATTATATCATTTATATCAATATAAAATATAATTATATTATATATTATCATAAAATTTTATAACATATAAATAACAATATTTTGTTTATAAAAAATACAATATATACAATAGTTTATATAAATATAAAAAATTTATACAAAAATAATAATATTGCCAGCGAATGAAGTGATGCATAAATGCATAGATAATGAATCAAAGATTATGCATAACTACATATGAATCAATTTTTATGAACACAAACACTGGGGTAAAGGGCACACTATAAAAAAATTTTATTTGCTCTATCAAATTGAATATGTGATTTTCCATTGATTTTAATCATAGATAGTTTTTCATTATAGTTTTTCATCTGCTATTTTTTTATTTTTGTATATTTGTATTGCTTTTGCTCTTATATGTCTAATTAACTTTCTTTACAGATGGTAAATATATTGTTGGACATAACATAGTGTATTTTATTTAACAGCCACAATATTTAGAAGAAATGTGCTTATGTAAAAATTTTTATTATTATTTATTATTATTTTATTACTATTTTGCTATATAATTAAGTTTATGCTGTTTGCTTTTGAATTTTGTAATAATTTAAAAATGGAGAATGATAAAAGATTAGGATTAATTTGTAGTAATTTAAAAATGGAGAATGATAAAAGATTAAGATTTTAAACACAATATATTATTTAAAATTTTTTTCTTTTTTAAAAATTCAAACAGCATGAATATTATGTAAGCTTTTTAAGTGATTATTTAAGCTTTATAAAATATTTATTAAATACTTTTAATTTTTATTTCCAGTAGATATATTCTAATTATTTATATTTTTAATATATAAAGTTTATGTAAATTATAGAATATTAAAATCAATAATTAATGGAATAAAAAAATGAATTATTTATTTTGTATCTGCTGGAGCGAATGTACAAACAATTATTTTTATATTGTTTTTTGCACATATTAGATAATACAATAAAATTTTTCTTATCTATTTTTCAGGGTGGTTCAAGAAAAAAATAACTTCAAAGAACAAGCTGCGTTAATGCAGCATAATTGATCGAGACAATTGATAAAGGAAATATATATAAAATTACAAAAACTCCAACATTACATGAATATCAATGGAAAATTTGACCATTGAGAAGATTAACATAATAATGAAAATATGAATAATGTTTCTTATGAGAAAAATATATTATTTTATTATATGAGGAAAAATATAAATAATTTTGTAGTTAGACATTAAGAAGAAATAGAGCTGGTGTTTGTTACAATTACACAATTAATAGATATGAGGAAAAAAGCATAATTCAACAATTATTAAAATTATATTGTAAATTACTAAATAATAGTTATTTAGTTATTATTTTTGTTATGTAAAACACTCAGATGTGTTTAAAATCTTCATAGTTTATTTAAAATTTATTATTCATAAAATCATTTAAAACAAAATATACATATATTACACTTAATGTTCTAATATTGAGTGATATTTTAAATATCTTTATTATTATTATTATTTTTTTTTTTTTAATTAATAATAGACAGAATCTTAGATGATTTTCATATTGTCAAAAGATTTGTATACAAAGCTGAAATCATTAATGAATTAATGTGCAATAAATGAGTACATTTGTGTGATTATTATACAAAAATAATACATGAAAATTTCAATAGACATTTTAAAGCAATTTTAAATTATGCGAACAAATAATTAATTTTATAAAATATGAAAAAAATTTGAAAAATTAATTTTAATAAATATACTCTGGATAGGGCAATAACTTTAATAACTATGAATATTGTCATTATTTTTAATAGATATGGAAAAACATTATATAAAAGTAATAATTATTTTTTATGTAAAAAATTATTTAAATGATATTTATTTTATTTGAAACAAAAATGATAGACATTTAAAAAAATAGAAAATATTTAGAAATCTTTTCTACTTACAAAAAATTATTATTTATTTCCTTTGAATTATAACTTTTATAAAGTTTATGTCTCTAAAAATAATAAATGAAGTAATTAAAATTATTGTCTTATCCGGTATATTTTTTCAAAATTAAATCTATGATTTTTAATGATAATAAATATTAAATTTATTATAAAATTTAAACAAGATTGAGTAATCAGTATATAAATGGGGCATTTAAGAATGTTTGTTAAAGTTTTTATTTGTTAGTTTATTTTTACAAAACAATTATAATTTTTACTATAATCTAAACAGGCAATAATACTCTATTTATAATATATTAAATGTTTATTTCGTAAAATATCGTTTCGTTTATTTACAAAATCATGTAAGTTTTAGCGCAGTACTTATTTATATTTTACATTTAAAAAATTAGAGTTAGAAAAGATTATTAAAAAGATTATTGTTTTATTTCACGTTATTATATTATATACAAGTTTCAATAATAATTTGTAACTATAATGAATGATGTAAGTTATTTACCCACATTTTTTAAGTCTTAAATTTTAAGATTATTTATTCAAAGTATTAATACATTCACAATTTTTAAAAAATTTAATATATATCTGGTATAATTTAGATATCGAAATAAAAATGAAAATATAAAAATATTGGTCAAATCTATTTATTAAGATATAAGTAATTTAATTTTGCATTTATATTTATAATTTTATTGCCATAAAAAAATTTTTATAAATTTAGCTCTTTTATTTTCGAGATATATAAATTATTATAATATTTTTAATCAACCCTGATACAAAAGGTACAAAAATTATTCTACTTTTTAATATTTAAATTTTATTCACTCACATTACTTTAAACTATAAATATATTAAATTTATTCACAAATCTTTAATAAAACATATATTTTTTATAAACTTTTAAAAATTAATAAATCAATAAATATCTCAATATAATAATAAATTTTACTATATTAATTTAAAAATTTTAAAAACAACTTTTAATCTTTTCAATGTAAAAGAAATATTTTTATTAAACTAAAATCTTAAATCTAAAAACACTTTCCAGTACTTTTACTATGTTACGACTTATTTCAACTTTAAAATGAATCGGAAATAAAATAAAACGGTTTAATTAGCTGGAGAATAGTATTTATTGGTTTTGATTGGTCCTTCAATAAAAGTATTAAAAATTCATAATCGACTTATATTTATACTATTTTAAATAAACAATTAAGTAGATATACATATCGTTAAAAAAAATAAGTTTCATGTAGAATATGAAATTTATATAATTTATTAATGAAATCAATCTAACTTTATTAAATAATAAATTATATGAATTTTATATTCCATAATAAAAAATATTAAGTATTATAACTAATATTATTTTTTTTATAATGATATACATATATATTCTTATATTGTATATAGTTTTGTATTCTGTCAGATTTTGTTCTTGATATAAAATTGAAATTTTTGGCAGTAAAATTATCGTCTAAATTTATTAATTTTTATTAATTAATTTTTATTTTATTATATATTTTATTTTCATTATATAGAAGAATATAATGAAATAGCATGTGAAATTTTTCTAGTATTTGATATATTTCCTTTTTAATTTTGAGGAACTGAAAAATATACAAGATATATAATATATTTATATATTTATAGAATATTTTTGAAATGTTAAAAACGAAAAATTATATTGCATACAAAATATACAAAATATGTATGATATAAAAATAAAAATATACATAAAAATATACACACGTATAATATTTATACACATAAAAATTGGATTGAATATATTTTATTGATTTTTCAGTTAGACAAAAAACAATATAATTAACTAGAATCATTTCTAGTTGTTAAAGTCATCTTTTCTCTTGAGGCATAAATTTTGTAGAGCAAATAAAAAACAAAAAGAACAAATGTAAAAGAAAAATAAAAATAGAGTATAAATTGAAAAAACATTTCTAGAATGCTTCAAGTATACTTTTAGAAAGTATTTTGGTATTCTTTAGATATCTTTATGCTCAATAGTTGGTACTAACAATTCTAATTCTATCTTTATTTTTTTCCTGTTATTTTGTTATTGTTATTGTTTTTCTTATTTATATTTGTTTTATGTAAAATATCTCTAGAGAGTTCTTATCAATACTTTCATTGCATTTAAGATTCATTTTATTATTTTTTTAAAAACATAAATGTATTTATGTATTAATCTTTAATATAAAAAATGTAGATATTATATTCAGCTTTATAATATATCTCTAAGATAATGGCTTTGTAAAATATATTTTAATATGATATGAACGTTTAAATAACAACGTTAGAATAACAAAAATAGAATTTAAATAAATGAAAGTATGATTTAATAACAAAGAATTTTATTGAAAAAAAGATTTGTTGAATTCATTCACTATTTATAATTTTATAAAATATTTGTAAAACATTTCTAAATATTATTAGCATTGCAATTTTATTCTGAATTAAATTAATAGTATTAAAAATGATAAAGAGAGATAAAAGAGAGTTGACAAAATATAAATATTGTATAAGAATAAAAATAATGCTTTCAAAACATGGAATAAAAAAGTTGAATATTAGATTCATTTTGTATCTCATTTGTACGAATATTTCGTAATGTAAATGAGAAATCATAAGATTAAAAAAACTGTAATATAAAATAATGTGAAATAATTTAATTTAAAAAAATATAAAATATAAATATAACTTCAATTCATAATTTTAAAAAATATAAAATTGTAATATTATGCAAATTTATTATATTATATTGATATTATTAAAAGAATTATATTTTAAATACTTATATATAAAAAAAAAGAAATGTAAACAATTAATGTGTTACTATAAATTATCAAATTTATTTTGACTAAAAATTATAAAACAATTTATCTATTATTATATTATAATGATAATTTTTGATCATTAATAAATAATATAATATTTATAATAAAAATATTTTTATTACAATAAATTTATAATCTATATATAATGTCTATTGTATTCATTGTAGCAATATCACACATTATATAAAATTCTATCTATTATTTATCAATTAAGTGAATATTGTTTTTATTTTTAATACAGTTTATGTTATTTTTTAATTCAACATTGTTTGTAAAAATCCTAAAATATAACTACCCAAATCTTCATCTTGATTTGTCCATGATACATATACACTTTTTTGATCATCTTCATCACCTTCTACTTTTACTAAAACAGATTCAACAGATATTGATCCATCTGTTAATTGAACTGTCCAACCTGATAATCTTTCTTTCAATGGTTGTAATAATTTTAAAGTTGTTGAATGTGCAGGACCAGGATCTCTTACTTGTACAGTGGATGTAAATCGTACTACATGTTTCGTTATTCCTGCAGCTTTTGTTACCTTAAAAAAAGTTTTAAATTATTATATTTTAATAAATCATACTTTTAATAATATATATTAATTAAATAAAATAATTTAATTACTTCATCTGCATCTACAAGACATACTCCATCTTCTCGTAACATTAAAACACTATGGAGTAATCTTCGTCGCTTAGGATCTGGTGGTAAAGCTGAATATTTTTTTGCTTCAGCCTTTAATAATGCTAAAGAGGCATCTACTGGCACTTTGGAAATAGTTGTGATAACACAAGTTTCACCATTTGCAGGATTATAACAGTTAGTTCCAAATTCTTGTTTTATTTTTTCTTTTAGAAATTCCATTTTAGCAAATTCACCATGTACAAGCATAACATTTTTCGGTTCACAATATTGTATTAATTGCATAATACCTTTTGCATCTGCATGAGCAGAGAAAGACATATATTCTACTGCCATTTTAACTTCTACAATCTGTCGGTTTTCAAATTCGATTCTTCTAGAACCATTTAAAACTTTATGTCCAACAGTGCCTTGGACACAAAATCCAGGCATAATAACCATATTTGCTTCATTTGGAGCCCATTTTTTAAAAATTTGTAAAGATAATCCTGCATGCAACATACCTGGAGTAGCAAATACTACCATGGCCCCAGGATTATCAATATATGCTTTATCAAATGGCTTTATGTGTTTAAAATCAAACATATTTCTTTGTACAAAAGTTTTCTTAATTTTTTGATTTGTCCAAGTAATAAACATTTTATAATAATTATTAGCTTTTTCAGTTAATCCTAAAGCAAAATACACGGGAACTTTTAGATTCATTCGTTCCCAATATGTTTCCAACAATATACATAATTCTTGTGCACGTCCAAGAGCAAATACAGGGATTAATACTTTGCCACCTCTATCTATACATTCATGAACCTAAAAAATAACTTTATATAAAATTTAATACTAATGTATAATATTAATTATTACATACTTTTTTTAAAAAGTCTCTTTCTCTACATCTCTTAGAATCTCTAATAGTTGTTGCATATGTTGATTCTGATATTAATAAATCTGGTCTACATTTATCTATCCATGCAGCACCTAAATGTCTATCAGGTGTCATATTATAATCTCCTGTATATACAATTGATTGTGAACCAACACGAATCCAGAACATTGCAGCACCAAGTACATGTCCTGCATAATATGCTTTTATTTCTAGTTCTGAATCAACCATTACAGATTGATGCAATGTAACAGCAATAACTTTTTTCATACAGTCTTTTATCATTTGTGATGTAAAGAAATTGCTTTCTCCTTTACGTTCTACTGCAACTTTTCTCATATCTTCAAGTAAAATTGGTGCAATTGCTTTTGTTGGATGTGTCATATAAATTGGTCCAGTATAACCTACCTATAAATGAAATTATTTTTTAAAAAAACATATTTCAATATATTATTTATATAACTTATGTTACCATTTCTGTAAAATATGGAAGAGCACCACAATGATCTAAATGAAAGTGTGAAATAATCACACAATCTATATAATTAGTTGCTGGACCTTCCGGAATTATGTATGAAAAATCTGGGAATCTCCTTTCATCATTAAAGCCCATGTGCATGCCACAATCTAACATAATATTCTTTCCACCCATTGATACAAGAATGCAACTTCTTCCAACATCTTGACCAGCTCCTAAAGGTGTAACTTTAATATCTGGCATTTTCCTAAATAATATATCAATTAAAGTAATTTACTTATTTTATTTATTTATATAATATCATGTTATTATAGAAATATTATAATATTTATTATAATATTCATTATAATAGTTAAAATTAATTTTGCAAATTAATTTTCGTAAATAATATATTAACTAAAACGATTTATTCATTATATTTATTTATGCACTATCATTTTATTACAAAACAGTATATTAATTATAATAATTAAATTGAAATTAATTTTGCAAAAATATGGAAAATATTATAATTGAATTTTTAATAAAGAATAAAATTTACCTATATCAGTCTTTTGACTGATAAACAATTTAAAAGTTTTTCGATATATATTATTAAGTATATAGTTAATGCATAAATATCGATCAATGATCTTTCATTTTGTTATTTTTCTATAATTAAAAGTAAATTAAATCCCAACATTAACTCTTGTTGGATCATGTTATTAACGTGTTCTTTCTGGCAATTGTTCTTAACATAACCTCTAAATTTTTTGATGTTAAAGGTGCATATTCGAAATAATTCTATATATAGTCCAATTTTTATTATAAACTTATATCTTATATTATTTTAAAATATTTAATCAATATATATTTTTATATATAATAATATTTTTTTATTTGAGTAATTACTCATGAATTACATTAAAATAATTTATAACATGTTATAATAATTTATAATAATTTATAACATTTAAAAAAAATTTATAATATTTAAGTAAAAATATTCTTTTAAGATTTATATAATTTATGTTTATATGCATAATATAAGTATTTATAACATCATTTAGAAGCAAGATATTGTAAGAATTAATTTTTTTATTTATATTTCTGAAAAAAAATATGATTCATAGATGTTTCTTATTATAAGCTTATTAAATCTTATTATTAAATCTTATATATTAAGCTTATTAAAGCTTATTAAAGCTTAATAAGCTTATTATATATATATTATAAAGAAATTTCTAAAATTATTTTTAATTAAGATTATATTTTTGTTTAAGTTAAGAAATGTTAAATATAGAAATATTAAGAAACAATAATAATTTAAATATATATACAATGTATTTAAACTGTTATATATATAATTTATATATATATCTTTCTAGAGATATTAGAATAATTTCGAATGTATTGAAACACTCGTGATCGAGTAATTAATAAAATAAATAAAATTATTAAAGTAAATAATCTTTTTCATAGAACAATAAATTAAAGAAATATATATGAAAGTGATAAAGAGCAGATAAATTTTAAATATTTAATGTTTTTTATCTAATATTTAAAAATCATAAAATGTAATTTATTTTATATGCAATTAAATTAATTCTTATTAATTGATTATAAAATTATTGTTAATAAAAATTAATTTAAATTTATATTTATTATATTTAAAAGTGAGAGTTTCATATTTTAATGATTTTTCTTTTTATAGCAAATATAAATATATAAATTAATAAACGACTATAATTAATGATAATGATAATTTATAATTATAATTTAATTAATATAGTTTGTTGGAATTTGTTTGCTCAGTTATGACATATATATATTTCAAACTTGCCATATCTGAATTTAAATTGAAATTAAATTAAGCATAATACATAAAAAATATAATGTATAATTAATAATATAATAATATTAATAATATAATAATATTAATAATATAAGTAATATAATTAATATAATAATATTAATAATATAAGTAAATTTAAACTTACAAATATGATAATTTCATTTGCTTTATAAAAATTTATTTTATTATAAAAAATTTTATAATTTGAAGATATGACAATAATATAAATAAAATTAATAATAAATTAATATAAATAAAATTAATAAACTAAAAAATTAATAATCTATAGTATTTCAAGTATTTACTGTATTTAATAATTCACTAATTAATAGTTAATTACTAAATTATCACGTGATTTAGCGATAATATTTTAATAGCTATTTTAATAGCTAATAATTTTAAGCTATTTTAATACCTTAAACTTTTAATAGAACTTATAACTTAATTTAAACTTTTCAATTCTTACAATAATTTTACAATAAATTTTTAAAAAATAAAATTTTAAAAGTAGAACTAACTGGAAAGGTATGGAATTAAATTCATACTCAGTTTCAATACTTTATTCATATAATTTTGTAGTTACGGCATTATTTCTATATATTTACATGTCTCCAATTTTCCACGAGAACTCGTAATGCGTGTATATACGCGCGCTAGTATATTACTCATATGTCGTGTACATGTATCTGTTGTGTGTTATGTGTATTTATATTTCTTTCCTTGTATTAATAAGTTGTAAAACATATCATTAATAGTATTTCTTTTTTTTCTTTTGCTTACATTTTGTTTTTGTTCTTTTCATCCATGATTTATAAAACATAAAATGCTACGGCGAAAGAAAAAAAAATTGCGAATTGAATTACGTGTTGTATTGTGATGTCGAAGATCTGCGCGTTTATAAATTGGGAGAATTCTAACGAAACGGCACAGGAGGCTTCGTATTGACATGTAAAAAATCTAAATGCATTTACGCTACAGCTCGTATCTTATATATTTTGCTTGTATCCACGTTAAATTCCTGAAAACGAAAGAGTCAGTCCAATCACATTGAAAACACGTCAAGCTATAATTGACTCGATCGCTTTCTTTAACGCAGAATACATACGTGTAAACGCATGCACATACGATGCATATATATACATTCATGTGTATATATATATATATATATACTCTTTCTTATCCAAAAAGGACCGATTTCTGATGTAAATTATATACGCACTCAAATCCTACTATACATACACACATATAATAGTATACGTGTAAAAATCGGGAGTTTCAGCTTAATAAAAAACAAAAATATTCCGTAATCACTATTAATCTTTTGTGTTTTGCGAATTTACCACTTTACCACTTTAATATCATCTGTTTATTTTATTATTAATTTCCTGTTTCACACTGTTTGCATCTTTTCGATCATGTTTACAGCATTATTTTCACTATCTATAAATTGAACCAGTTTAGTGCGTCCGAATATTTAACTGTACAATTGTAAAATATAATTCCATCTAGCTATAGCAATTCTAAATACACTTGTGTGTGAGCTTATTATTTTTTTTTTTCTTTTCTCTTTTTGCTTGCATACTATCCAACAATTTTCGATTCGCGATATACATATGTCACGCTATTATTTTTTTTGCATGCGGACATATGATTTTTCCATCTCTTTTTTTTATGCACATACACAAACACATACATACACGCTCATATTCTTTGCACATAATATTTGTTTCATTTTTCTCTTTCGCTCTTTCATTTTTTTTCCTTTTATCTTACATTTTTTGTTTCTTTATTCTTTCTTTCTTCTTATATATTTTCTTTGTTACCATACTACATGGTAATAATTAAGTGTAAATATGACGTCACATTTATCGTCATATTCACGACACACTTAAATTCAAGATTTTAGTATTTTAAGTAAGTTAGAGTAACATTTTGCTCGATAAGATATTTTATTAGAAGTTAATTAGTTTAGTATAAATATTAATCGTCAGTACACTGAAAGATATGCAGATAGAGAGTTTGGAGGGCAGTGATAACAATATGTTCGCGTTTTTACGATAATTGGTGAACACATATTCTTGATTAATGATATGGTTTGTCATTTTCTGGCATGCGATATGCCAGAGCGAAATAGTAAATTGGTTTCATATTTTTTTTTTCTTTCAGAAAAAAAAAATAATAAAATTTACTAAGGTACTTTCATATTAACGAAAAATATATCATTGAAAAATTTATGATCTTAAGAACTGATGAGGTGAATTAATCCGATAAACCATTCGATTCATATTTAAAAGACATGGTTATGAGTTTTTGGTCATGTGAAGATACATTTTATTGTTAAAAAAAATTATCTTTGTACTTAATATTTGTTTTGAATTTTTTTTTTTGTATATATATGTTACAAAACGCGTATTTAATTGTACTTATATGATACAGGATGGGTCATTTTATATAGAATATAATACAATTCGTGAGATATAAATGTCTAATTAAAATAATTTTATATATATGTATTATGTTATATATTTTTAAATGAGATTTTTAAATGGAGAAATAATATGATTGAAGATTTAATATTGTATTTTAATGAAATTAAAATTCTTTCATTTTTCACAAATTAGTAAAATAAATTATTTTCAATAAATGATTTAAAAAATTCATATCATAAATTTTCAATTATCGATTATGCATCATAATTCAACAATGAGAAGATAGCAAATAATTTCGAACAAAATTTCATAATCTAATGTATGTAAAAAAATTAATATTAATTTTTAAGTAGAAGATATTTTATTTAAATAAACATTATCATATTATCATTTGTTTCCCGTTAATACGAAAGTGCCAAAATGTTTTGTTAATTATGACAAACAAATTATTTTATATATTTTATATATCATATATTGCATTGTGTTATTTTTATCAATCATTTGTTTCAGTTCTCAAAAATTGTCATGACTGAGAATAACATCATAAATATGATATTTTATGTTGAAAATTTATTATTTGTAAATGTGTTAACGATGCAACAGCGATATCGTTAAGACTGCCCACTCAACTTTAGCCACGTAAATATACAAAATCCGCATCGACTTATCGTTTTCTATAGCCTACGAATGATTTCGAGGATGAAGATCGATAAAGTCGAGAGAATAGAGATTATTGTGCCATTTTAAGCGTCGTGTATAATTGTAATCGTTTTTTTATTCAATCGAATCAATTGAATGAAGTATCGCAAGAATAATGAAAAATGAATGATGAAAAAATTTAAAAAAAAAAAAAAAGAAAAAAAAGAAAGCGAAGAATTAGATTTGTGATTTTCATTTTTTCAGTAATTAATAAAAATCGTGCTATATTTAGATTTTAAATTTATCAAGCTCTTGTATAATTAAGATATGAAACGGTATTACTTAAAAATTGTACACATTTGTTCGTCTTTTTTTTTATTTGCATTTTTCATTTTTTTTTCTTTTTTTCAATTTTTAAAGAATCTAATGCAAATATTGATTGTGTTTCTAGAAATATTTTTTTGCAAAAACAATTGTTTCATTTTTGGTTCTTTCCATTCATCAATTGATAATGATTTCCGTATATTCGATCGATATACGGAAATAAATGTGACTATCTTTATATTAGATGACAATTCGAAATGTGTGTACATACTTACAAACACATTTCTGATTTATATTTGCATAAGTGTTTGTTGATGTTGTATGAATCTTTTCTTTTGTCAAGAGAAAACAGAAAATCAGCATTGTATTGATAAGCTATTGAAAGTATCGTGATATTCTTCTTTGTGATATTCTGGATTCGCCGTTTCATCGATTTCCTTTTTTTTGTATCGAGCGAACAATCTATTAAAAAGTTTCA